TTGCTGTCATCGTATACCAATTTTTGTCTTGAGCCTTTCAGGTAATTCTTACGAACCCGCTTTTGTCCTTGCTTCCTTGCTGTCATAGCTAACCGTTCGCCATCCTCGGATCTAGCTGGTCTTCCAGGTAATGGGTCACACTTATCTATCTCCACTAACGTGTTCGATTCTATTAGACGCGATGCGTTGTTGTCAAGATCAGTACCACTTTCGATTAAGGATGTCCGCTATGGACACATCTGACCGACCGGCCAGGATTCTTCAAGTGTGTCTCACACTGCCGTGGACTAACATTCTTCTATTTCAGAAAGCCTCGAGACTCCTATGGCAGCAGATGACACCGCTCCGAAGACCGTCCTTGCACCTTCGGTACGACCTTGATCAAGACAGGTGTCTCTTTCCTCAGCCAATGAGGACGCCCTTGCTCTAGCGCTTCGTTGCATAAGTTTCGCAGCGATCAACACCTCGCGCCCAAGGACGGGGACCTATGGCTACCATGACCGTTCTCTGGAGCAGCTGTCCGTCGACGCTGCAAAACAGCCCGCTCCCGCACAGTCTTCAGGTCAAACTTCACCTACAGGCCCACCAGTAAAGGTTAGCAGATCTTCGTCCAGCCGCCACCAGCCTGTGACCCCAGCTCCTGCGCGATCCTCAGGGCAAGGACCCTCACGTCAGCCCCAGTCTTCCCGTGGAGCTCGTGGGGGATCGTATTCTGGCTCACGTGGAGGTCAGGCCGCCAACCGTAGGCAAGCACCAGCCGCAGCTCCGCGCAACCGTCAGCCCGCGCCACCAGCGGCTCCCCAGAAGAGACCACAAGCTCCTCGTAATGGTCAACGCCCCAGAGCGCCTCGTCCGTAGCAGGGTGGTCCGCTTCCACAGGTTCACACGTCCCAGATGCCGCGGTTCACCCCTGATGGTTTTCGCACTACCTTAATCAACCAGCACCCTTGGGCTGAGTTCGTTAATCCCCGCCTCAATTCGGTAACCTTCGCGAAAATCGTCCACCGGTTACTACCACCTTGGACGTAACATCTATCGGCACCTATCGGATTAGGTTATTTATCACTCCGTTCTAACAAATCCTTGTTTCCAGAAGTGGTGTCACGAGCCGACAGGCTTCCCCAGTCAGTGCCATTCATCGGGCTGCAACACCTCGAGGACACCATCGTCTCCCGAGCCCGAAACAAGCTCGTGATCGACCAACTATTGAACGGCTCATACGTAGAGAGGATGTCTCCAGCAAGAGGATGTCTCCGGCCTGGCCCAAACCGACCAACATAAGTACGTGACCATACCCCCGTACTGATGGCTGCCGACCAGTTCTCTACGAGGTGGTCACCACAGGATGGGGTACCGGAGTGGTACTCGAGGCAGGGCACGCCATTGCGTTGTGATCATTTCCTGAAAAATACGACCCCCCTAATTCCATCTTCAAGTACGACCCCCTCCCCATGTTACCTCTTCCCTAGATTTTTCCAACCTCCTACCACTTTGTCTATTTTTTCCCAAAAAATTTTTTTACAAAATTTTGCTGTCGAGCGGGGGGGGGGGTCGCAGTACCTACGTACGTCCCAAGCACGTCCAGCACTCTGGCGCTGGTGTAGCATACTGACAATACGTACGAGGAAGGGGCGATGATAGGAGCTACGATCACCGCCCACAAGGGCACCATGAATTTATAAACAATGGAAAGGACTTACGACTGACGATGAATAAACAGACGAAAGTACATTCCCGGACTTTTCTGATTGCAGGAGCACATTTGCTTGCAATTGGGAAGCCCTATCTAGAAGTTACACCTTCCAAACACCTGCGTGAAAGCCCCATGCATGGCGCATTGCAGAGGTGATGCCAATTGGCGCCCAATGGCCTATTTCCTGATACCCTTTGCGAAAACATGTGTTTTAGAAGCATACCAAAGTCTTCAAGCCAACTGGAGGTTTCATGGCCTCGGAGGGGCTGATTTTTCGTGTCGTGGGGGGTGATCACAACGGGGAATTTTTTCGAATAGCAGGCCTAGGAAGAAAATTAAAGCCTTGCTGGAAAGTAGAAATCTTCAAGCTTCCGGCACAATTCTTTTTTTACGAAAGGCCGTGTATGAAGCTTGCCATGGACGTCCAAAGCGTAGCGACTCGCGGTTCGCAAAAATGATCACAGACGGATCACAACGATGATCACAACGGGGAAAATCTCTGGAATCGGAACGTTTTTGAAATCGCTCAATTCAGGTGACAAGAGCCAACCTAGCTCTACTCATTCCCACTTACCCCTCTCCGATAGCTTCACTTTCAACGAAGTTATGGGTGTTCAAATGAGGGGTACTTTTCACGTGTTTGGCTTGAAATTGGCTCCAGGCCGTAAAATAGCGCGCACCAATGAGCTTGTATGAGCGCGCTGACCGCGAACAGCCAAAATTCAAAAGTAATCCATAGTTCCGGTTCCAGCTGGCCTGGTGAGTTTTTTTCTTATCCATTTGATTGTGAATTATTTTGATTGTTTGTTTTTGTTGAGTTTGATTTTGTTTTGTTGAGTTTGATTTTGTTGTGAGGAAATTGCTCAGGATTCAATTTCTACGGTTTCATAGGTAGCTTTTGCAATGGATTCTTTTCTAGATTTTGCGGATTAGTGGATTGGGATTTATCTAGACCAGATGAGGAGGGTTGGTGGGCGAAGTGTCTTGAAGTTTTTTTGTGAGGAAGGAGGAAAAAGTTTCAGCAATATTTTTTTTAGTTCTTGGCCTAGGAATAGTTCGATAGTGCCTAGTTCTATTAGGTTGTCCGGAAAGTTCTCAGCGTTTTGTGCACCTATTTTTTGTACATTCACTGCTGATTAAAAACTCATTCTGCCTTGCTTCTCAGTAGCACATCCTGTAGAGAATTTTGCGCTATCTGATGGTATAATTGCCGTTTCACCATTGCTTGATAAACCCCCTTTTTTCAAGATTTTTTCAAGCATGTGAAAAGAGCACTTCGGACGATTTTTTCTTCGACTATAAATTGGGGCAATCCGCAATCGAAACAGCTCAACAAATTAACCAGGTGTGGGGGCCCAATAGTGCTAGAGAAAGCACTGTGCGGCAATGGCTCAACAAATTTCGTTCTGGAGATTTCAGCCTTGAAGGTGAACCTCATAGCGGTCGACCTAAAGCAATATCTGACGAGGATTTTAGGGGGATTTTGGAGGCTGACCCATCCCAAACAGTTCGAGAGATAGCAGAAGAGCTAGGCCTTGGCAAATCCACTGTTGCAGATGGTCTGGAACGCATTGGGAAGGTGAAAAAACTCGACAATTGGGTGCCCCACAATCGGAGTGACCGGCAGGAATCGGCACGTCTCGAGGTTCCTTCTGCATTGCTTTTGCGCAGCAGAAACGACCTGTTTTTGGGCCGAATTGTCACCTGTGATGAAAAATGGGTCATGTATGATAACAGGAGACGTTCCGGACAGTGGTTGGATTTCGACGAACCACCGAGGTAATTTTCAAAGCCGAACCCTCACGAAAAAAAGATTCTGGTCACGGCTTGGTGGTCATCGGCTGGTGTGATCCACTATAACTTTTTATCACCAGGCCAAACCATCACAGCAGAACCCTACTGTGAAGAAATCGACGAATTGTACCGAAAATTTTGTCAGCTGCAGCCAACACTTATCAAAAGAAAGGGTCCGATTCCTTTGCATGACAACGCCCGCCCACACGTTTCACAAATCACTATCCATAAATTGAACGAATTGGGGGTTGAAGTTCTACCTCACCCGCCATATTCTCCAGACCTTTCACCAACCGACTATCACCTTTTCAAACATTTTCAGAACTTCCTTGCTGGAAAATACTTCATCAATCAGGACCAGGCAAAAAAGCCTTCGTGGATTTCGTGAATTTTCGACCACCCAGTTTTTTACTTTGATGGGATTTCTCGACTGCTGTCACATTGGCAAAAGTGTGCTGATTCGAATGGTGCCTATTTCGATTAAATCCGATGAGTATTAAAAAAGTTACGATCGTTTAAAGTGAAACACCCAAAACGCTGAGAACTTTCCGGACAACCTAATATTTATTGTCATCTACATCGTCCCTTTTGAGCTTCTTTTCACTTGTACCGTGTATCACCGCTCTCTCCACTTCAACATGGGCCATGCGTTTACGACCCCCCCTCCATCGCGGGCAAATACGACCCCCCCCGTTGTGATGATCACAAAGATGGCGTGCCCTGCCTCGAGGCCAAGGATTTACTTCACGTCGGGCCGGACAGGCGCGATCTCCACTGTATCACGTTGGACCAGTTCTCCATCGAAATAATGTCTGGACGTCGTGGCTTCAATAAGTCCCTGGTATCGGCTAAGGACTTCGTGTGGGTTACAACGTTGAACCCTCGCGTCAAGCGCTTCAGCGCCCCAAGGCCACTCTTGAGAAAGCCTTCCGTCCCACGGACGACAGCTCTCGAGACCACCTCTGTCTTCTTTTTTAGGGTCTCCCACTTCGCCTTCGTCACACCCGAGAACCGCGAGGAGGACATCTACGGCATGATCTTATCCCTCATCATCCGATACAATCATGTTCTCGACGCACGGGCTGCTTTGAGGATTGCCCCAACGCGGTTACAATGACACCGTTCATCTGCTCTTTCTCCCTCGACGATCTCACACAATACGAGATCGTCACGGCGCGCGCTCGCAAAAACCTTTCATCGGCAATGCGATTTTCAGAGCCCCCCGCATACTGCACGCTCGAGAGCAGCTGGCTAACATCGTTCGGTGCTTCCTTCCCATGCATCTCAAAGAGGAAATTCTCTCTCTGACGGTGTCCAAGATCTCTCAGGCGGAAAAAGGATTGGTTTGAGGACCGCCTCGGTTCCATTTACTAATTTTTTCAGGGATCCGGTTGGATCGAAGCAAAGGTTAGCGAAGATCTGCAACACCGCCTGTTCGGCGCTTGCTGCAGTCAACGCGGCAGGGCGATGATCGACGCACGCACTGGGTGCCCGCAACTGTAGTGACCTCTTTATGGTACCCTATTCGCCCTCAGCTGTCACTTACAGGTGTGACGAGCGAAGCTGGATGGGCGCCTGGAAGACATGTTGTGTTCTGGATACCGCGGTCCGACGGTCTCCTTTGGACCAGGGTTACCTCTGTGACAGCTGTCTCCCACGAGAAGCTGCTCATGGTGGTCATAGAAGCGTTCCGCTGGTCACACAACTCGCTCACTAGCTTAATCAGGAGATTCGGCCGCGACAGCGAAGACGGACGCGTCATCGACCTTTGCGTACGGCTAAGCAAGTCCACCATTCGCAGCTAATCCCATTTACGACGTGGTGTCGCGGACTCGCATTTTCGAGGGCCTCGTTCGATCATCCATAGGCGACCAGGTCGTGAACATCCTCTTTGGTGACCAGCGTTTGGGCACTAGCGACGAGTCCTACGTCCACAACCTCCCACCACCCTCTCCTTCATGGTAAGCGGGTGTCGGATAACGCTCACCCCCGACCAGAAAGACGCTGTACGCGTCGGCACCGCGCAGATACCGCTGGCGATACAGGCCGCGTTCGGTACCGGCAAAACCCTCGTGGGGGCTATAATAGCGGCCAGTATTGCTGCGAAGTCTAAGACGACGGTTATCGTGACCACGTCTACCAATGCAGCGGTTGCTCAATTCACGGAGACGTTGCTCTCCTTGCGCGACTTTCCACAGATGCAAGTGGTCCGCCACATCTCCGACACTGCGGCTGCGGAGAACCTCTGCCCGACGGCGGTCGACCTGAGTAAGGTCTTGAAGAGGCTGCCTGATGATTTCCGGGACCGCGTCCTACCAGGGGATCTGCAAATCTGCCGTAAATTCAAGTGCTGCAAGCAGCTCCTCGAAGACTATCTCGAGCAGCCGGCGTTGGTCCCTGATATGTCGGACGACGACAAAGAGGAGTACGAGATAGCTGAACGCTACGTCTCTCGTACCCTCAAAGCGTATGGTGCGCTTACTGTTCCACCTGAACCGTCCGGCGGTTCATCTGCATGACCACCTCGTCCCTGCTCAATTCGACGGGTAGCGGTGGAATTTTTGCCCCCTACGTCGCTTCCTTCCGAGTTTGAGACGAAGCGTATCAAACTGCGGAGCCCTCCTGACCATAGCTGGTCGTCTACAGCACGTTCGCCATGTCTACATTGGCGACGTTCACCAGCTGGCCCATGTGAAGTGCCCTCCCAGCTCGAACCCGGCACTTCATGGCGCACGTAGCATTGCGTCACTGCTAGTGCACGCTCGCAGTCCCGGTGCCCCGCACCCCCCCCCCCCCTAGTCACTACCTCTAGATCCCACCCCACTCATAGCGCGCCCCAATACGATCGCTTACGACGGGCGCCCTGATTTGTGGCACCCCGGTTAATTCTTTTCGCATGCTGCTCAAGGTAATGGATTTCCCAGCTAGAGGCATACCATTCATGTTCGTCGACGTCAAAGGAAGATCCTCTCGGGCGTAGAGCAAATCGCTCTTCAATGATATGGAGGCATGGATTTGCAACCAGTTCATCACTCGTCTCATGCACCGTGTCGCGACGCGGCTCCCCCTTGCGGTGGTTCCTATAGGGAGTGCGCGTCGTGTTGGGTCCTTTGGTGTAAAAGGGGGTCTCGCCTGTTATCAACCCGTGCCACGCGGCAACGCTTGCGGTCCTCATCCCCTTGGTCTCAATGCCTCCTGCGCCCACTTGTGGGTCAATGTGGGGTAAGCTTCTGCGCTCCTGTTCAGTCCTACAACTTAGAGTGCGATCAGGCGTTTCCCTTCACATGAATCAACTGCGGGCAACCTAATGGGGCCAATAAGTTAATCGATAAAGAACTGTCAACCAAGTGCGTAAAACTACACATCAATTGCAATAGGAATAATACACCAATCATATGTAAAAACGTGCTTGAACACGTGGCAACGAAGAAAAAGAAAGAAAAATCACGAAGGGTTATTTATCATTAATTCTACATCGAAAAACACCTAGCAAAGCTAAAAACCTACGTGCCGGCTGCCTGCGTTATAACGGGGCCATGGAGGCTCTCCAGCTGCCTGCGATCCCAATCCTCTCCAGTCCATTTGCGGTGATCCTCGGATGTAGGACGAGTAGGAAAGTGCGCATGATGGAGTTGCCCCCGGGTGGCAACTGCGCAAGATGTGGGACGATGGGCCAGGCTTGGGCAAGGACGAGCCTCGAGCTCGTGGGTGATGGACACGGGCGATACACGGTCGACGGCGATCCAGCAGAGTCGTGCGAACTGAGCAAAGGGCAGATCGTGGCCCAAAAATGAGGAGTTGGTCAGCGAAGACACACTTGCGCGGTGAGACCCCAGTGGACTGCGACGGTCCTTTAAACATTCGAGTTGTTGACAGTTGCGCGTGCAGTACTGCGCAATGGACGTAAGAGCGCACCGTGCGAAGAAGTCGTGCAGGAGTCACGACACACCGTGGTATCACTCCTCGAAACATCTGCGTCATCACCTTTTATAGGGAACAATATCGGTTGATGAGGGACGACACGGACCACTACGGCGTCGAACTAACCACTGTGGACTCGTACAAGGACGCGAGAAAGGAGGTTGTTATGTTGCTCACCACTAAAACTGATTTAGATCCCGACGCGGCGGAGTTCATCGACGATTACCGCCGCCTCAACGTGGCCGTATCACGCACGGACAGTTTATTTTCGGTAACGCGGAGTCGCTTCAACAAGCCCTGACCTGGGGCCGCCTCTTACGCTGGGCCGACTCCATCGGGGCGGTGGTCCCTACTAGCCACCTCGACCGCTATCTCAAGGTTGTAAAATCTTTTCTTCTATGGTAGTGTTTTCTCCAATCCCGTATACCTCGGCCTCGGACACTTTCAAAGTCCGGGACTCAATTCGGGTAAAGGGAGGAGGTGTGAGCCGCGGCGCTTCGATGTTTTGGTATGACTCTAGCTTTTCAGGGCGTGGCGCGACTGCAGCAGGACGATGCGAGGAGTCGACCGTCTGCCAGGTCCGGAGCCTGCAGCCCGTTCCTGCCAGCTTCCCTGAGGGCGATGCCCCGTTACCAAGAACACAAGATCTCTATTGGTGCCTCTACTTGCCTTATACCGTAGCCTTGTATCGTTTCCTTTGCCTTTTGTTGCCTGTAACCTATTCTAATCTCCTCATCATTACGGACTGTCGGGGCGTATCAGCCAGTAGGAGTGCGCACACTGTTTGAAGCCGTTCTCAGCCTTTTCGTTGAAACGCGTATGCGACAAAAAGTGGTAGAAAACGAGTAATACGAAGGATATAATGCTGTCATGTCATTTGCTCGCTTCAACAACTGGTGCAGAAAGACTTTGGCACCGCGGAAAACGCAGCCGCACTGACCCGCCCCGACAGTCCGTAATGATGAGGAGAGTATACTCTTTATCTTCTTCTATGTTTTAAAGATAAACTTTATTTACCCTTGCATCTAGAGTATTACAGAAGCGGGTGACGAGCACGTTCCCTGCGGCTAGCTGACTATCCAACTATTACAAAAGTATTTACTTATAACTTTTTATGGTAGCTTTTATTTGGGCCTTTCATGACTGAAAAGCTTTCGGAATTAGGCCTCTGCAATCTCTCTTGTATTCCCTAAAATTGATACCATGGATTGGGATTTCAGCACCTTTACCTTCTAAAAGTACCATTTATACGGGATATTATCAAGCTTCAGTAATTATGAGTATACCTATCCAAGTATTACAGAAGCAGTTTTTACTTACCTACAGTGTATCAAATCGTATTCACACAATGAGAATTCATTGCCGATAAACTGCTAAAAAGAGCACAATTCTTAATCTTTTCAAATACAATATTCAGTGATTAGCACAAAATGAGACGATAACTAAGCACTAAGTATCTAAGAATAAGTGAAATAAGCGATAAATGAAACTATCAGTAATTGGTGCGAAAAAAACAAGATAAAGGTACCAGAACAACAAAAGTTATGCAAAGAAGTGAGTAGTATAGAGCATGTGTTATAGTTTTGAGCAGAGCACACAGCTTGATAGTCGCGGTTACAATGTTGTGGATGATCTACACAAAAAGACAAGACTAACTGCAAGCAAACAAAATTAAAAATTTTGTACACAACTTAACAAACTTGAACTTAAGACTAACTACTTAACATTCACTGTACTGCATTGTTCCCTACATACAGCGCACTGAGCACTCAATACAGCACAACTATCCATATGACCCCAAGAATCACAGAAAGTACACTTCAACCAATACACATCGTTATTAAATTATTCATCGAATTCTCTGAAAAGCAATAAGCGTGCACTCTGACTTCTGCCACTTCAAACTCCTTGGGCACTTCGAATCTTCTCTTCTCCCTTTCTTTGTTAATAGATGCCGTCTGCGCTTATTTTGTGCTAGTCATTGTGATATTGTATCTGAATATATTGAGTATTGTGCGTTCCAGCAGTGGATCGACAACGACTTCCTTATTGCCTGAATACGATTTGTTACACTATTTCTGAAAAGCTTCAATCAAATAAAGTCATAAGTGAAAACTACCTCTGCAGTACTTGAAGAGTTAGTACTCATATTTACTGAAGCTTGACGATATCTCGAATAAATGGTACTTTTAGAAGTTAATGGTGCTAGAATGGAATCCCAATCCATGGTATCAATTCAAGGGACCAACTAAGCACTTCCACCTTTTACGGCTGAAAAGCTTAAGACGGGGAGCCATGCTCTAATCCAACAGCGCCCCAATGAGAACCCGGGCTACTGTAACACGGATTCACGGGGAGGCGGTCAGATGGCGTGCCTGCCAGCTGTCAAATCGTTTCTGGGACGCTGCTGGCCGTACACTGTAGTTCGCTGCGGACGGTTGGGCGTGTCAGCCAGAATGAGTGTGCACAGCAACAAAGCCGTTCTCTGCCTTCTTGTTGAAACGCGCATGCGACAAAAAGTGGTAGAAAACGAGTAATACGAACGATATGATACAGTATTGTCACTTGCTCGCTTCAACAACTGGTGGAGAACGAGTTTGGCACCGCGCCAAACGCAGCCGCACTGACACGCCCAACCGTCCGCAGCGAACCACAGTGTAATTACCACAGTACGGTAACTTCAGTAATTGCCTGGATTACGTAGCGTATGTGTTATGGTTGCTATTGCCTCGAGCATTTTTGAACGTTTTGGGCGAGAAGAATAGTATAGATATCGATCTGGCGTTTTTAGCGCCGATCGACACCTTATACTTTTCACTCAAAACGCTAGGTCGACAGCTAACTTTCCTTTTCGCCCAAAACGCTCAAACGCAGACGAGAATTATGAACGCAGCTCACCGCAACCCAGTCCAAGTAGCTTTGTCTTAATTCTCGATCAAATAAGAATCTGTTTAGGTTTTAAAACAACACGACTGCATCGGAATGGGAAACTTTTCGCCTTCCAGATTAGTGAACGAATGTTGTTGCACTATGCACAACTTTTT